GCTGCTTACAGAGTTCTGGCTTTCTTCTCCGTATTGCAGCGGCCTCCGCAAATTTTAGGATACACCCGGTTGCCGGCTGAAATAGGACCTTAAATGCAGTCTTTTGGTTGACTGTATGGCCAGTGTCCACTAGGCGCTTAGTGATTGAACTCTTGGGTACTTTATGTTCCGCCCTAAGCAACCACTTCGGCATGTGTTCAGCTAGCCGCATTGCCAACTGCCTTTGCGTGCGGCCGATGTATTTGCATCCGCAACTACATGTGAACTCATAAACACAGTTTGAAGTGGTAGACTGTGGTCGGCCATTCCCACTCCAGCAGTGCAACTCATTTACCCATTACAATCTCCTGTTTTCCGCCTTCGTACCAGATCCGGTTAATAATGGTTTCAACCATCGCCGATAAAATCGCAATTCTCAACGACTCGAGGGTGGGTGAGCGGGAACTTTTTGAGCTGACCACAGACACCTATCAAGTACGTGGCAACCATTACTTTGTTAGGTATATGGTCATAAAGTTCCTAAGGCGTTCACATTGTACGCAGCCCTATATTCACGGAACCCTATCCGAAACATTAACTGCACATTTGTACTACACCTGCGATCTGTAGATCTTAAGCTTAGCTTACGTTTGGCATTTATGGTCCACTAACATCTCTCCCATTTGCGGATATTAACAGTTCATAAACGGGTGTTATTTCAATAACCTGTTATTCCATCTATGTGAAAAATTTGGAATTTATATAAACCGAATAAGTTCTACATATGCGATTGCATTTATTTCATGGTAAAACGCCTATCCTTGTAGAAGTAACTAGCCCACACATCCAGCAACGTAAAGAAATTTATGGCCCCACTACTGGAAACATGTCTTTATTAAACCAACGCCGATGATTTAAGTACAAAATCACAAAATCAAATTTCACAGTCCTCAAAAAGACAAAACGCATTATGAAGCAAATTTTTTATTGTTAAAATAGAAACAAAAAACACACGTTCAGAAGATAACGCTTGCGGCTCCCCAGATCTCTTGGAACGTGTCCGCCAGACTTTTCAACGACCAGGTCCAGGTTGTCAAATCATTGCTCAAATCTACTGAACCTTCTGGGGCGGTAAATGTCTCAACCGTGTTTGCTCGCTTTTCACGATTGCCTATAAATTTAAAATAATGCTAATAAAGTCCCAGTTTAAAAATCCGCCAAAAGAGATCATTTCGAGACAGCATAAAATATTCCCAATACAGCGGGTGCTTTGGGTTACAATGCCGCTGCCCATGAAACAAAAACCGGCATTCGATGTCACTGATTTAAAATGCAGATATGTAGCCCCTCAACGTCATACATCATGCCCCTGAGTATATAGAACTGAAATAGAAAGAATGCATTTAATTTTGTGTTGGTGCGAAGCAAAGGGACAGACATCCTTACCGAAAGCAAAAACCGCGTTTCCGGAATTGAGAAGAAATAGAAATTGACGAGGCTGTTGCATGCCCGCGAGCTCGGTCCACTGGCCGAGCGGGCATCGGGCATCTGGCGGTGAAAACATCTCAACAGTGTTGACAGTAACTGGGTCACTTTTTTGTCCCCCGGCCACCAGGATCTTTCCACTTAAAGGGGTCGCAGCAATATTATATCGAGCAGTTTTCATGCGTGCAGCAGGCAGCCAGAACTCTGCGGACTTTGCTGAGCTCGCCTTCTCCTGCCAATCTGCTACTAGCTGGCAGAAGACCACGGAATCCTGTGCGTGGGTGTCATTGCTAC